TGAAGTGCTAAATAATAACTAACTTTTTTAAGACAGCTGGGATAGACCCAGTGTTTGACTTGCACCCATGTTTTATTCCAGGTGTGTGTAGTGTCCTCTGTTCTGACCAATGGATTCACAAATAGTTAAAATATGAATTTTCCAACGTATTTTTTGAAGTAAAAGCTACCTCTGTTAGTCAAAACGTTCTGTCTAGAACTAAAACTTCATCATGCCTATATCAACATGTCAGTACAAGAAAAAACTTGTAAAGAGCTAAAAGTTCCTTCAGTGTGCTAAAACTGCTTGTATTAAAGTTCACTGTTTTCTTTAGGAATTGTATGGTGATAAGACCTGGATTAGAAAATATTTACACAGTTACTTCTAGGAGATCTGAATGGGGTACAAGGTAACTGTGTAGTTGGCTTTCACAGTTAGCCAGCAGCAAATGTCTTCTGGCAGCAGTTTCTTCAGGACTTAAAAGAACCTGCATTCTTCTTTCAAAGCATTCTACCTCTACAGAAGAGAAAGCTCTGAAAAGATTTCAGCAGAAGCTATGTCCTGTTCTGTGTTCCAGCCATATCTGAAACGAAGCACATGCTTATCTGACCAAAGAACAGCTTGTACCAAGATTTCACTTCCAGCCAGTTAGACCCAGTATGTGAGCTGTGAGGCAAAGATGCTCTTACTGTCAGTTTGAAAAGGTAATCAGACTGTAACAGGGAGATAGCTGTTGACGCAGCTTGACTGCAGCACAGAAGTGGGTCTATTACTATTAAATTAGAAACTTGTAATCACATCAGGTATCAAAGCAGATGTCTGTCAATAGACATGCTTGTTAAGTCCTCTGAGTTGGTGAGCTAATCATGTGGCTTTCAATCTCTACCCCATATCACTGGAATTGGGAAGCTGCTGTGTATGAATGTGGGAAATTAGGTTGCAGGCAATTAGCTAAATTTGGCCTTTATTCTAAAGCACAGCTGTGAGCTAAGAATAATCATCAAACCTGTTTAAAAAAACATTGCAGGATGTAACACTTCGGAGTGATCTTCATTTAAATCCACTCTAATATATATACCCTAAGTAACACTCATGTTGGAGAGAGGAGACTTTGGAGAACCCTTCCCCCTGTGTAAAATGAGAATGTTAAGTGTTCTAAGGACTTCCAGTTAGAAATACTGAAAAAAACTAGAGTATTTAATGGTAGAATGTAAGGAAAAGGGCTCAATCTGCAGGTAACTGCTGCTTTGTAGCAAGGATATTCAAAGGGAGTACACGGTATGGATATGCATTGCACTTAATATTCTGAGCCCACAGATTTGACCACGGATGAAATGGACAAAACTGCCTGCATTCAATCTTAGCTATACTGGGTTTTCTTTGTATTTCCATGAGAGCTAACATTCCGTGGACGATACAAACCATGTTGCGGTTTTCCAGTTAAAAATCAGCTTTAGAAAGGTATGTCTGGTCATCTAACCCTATACTGCATCATGTGCTCTGCTTCTGCTGAGCTCTTTTGTGCATCTAGCTTGCTGTATGTTCTCGATGTTAGTAATGTATATCCTTATGGACTATGTAATATCATTATACAAAGACTAAAACAATGTAAGGAAAATCAAAATCCCTAGAAAGGGGAATGACCTATAGTAAGTTGTAACATAGCTTGAAACACATTCTGTGGAGTAAGTTGCATTTTCACTTATGTCCAATGATCATCTCTTTAAAGACGTTCTATAGTGTCCCCCTCCCACCTTGGTACGCTCCTGATTGTAGGCTGGAGAGGGATGACTGCTGACATGCACTGTGTGTGTAGGAGGAATATTTTGACTCCTCAGCCTTTCACTTGGAACAGCTGGTGTAATCCTCTCTTGTACCATGTCCATTTTGCATTTGGCAGCTCAGTTGCCATACAAACTAGGACAGCTTCAAAGGAGATCACCTGAGTTCTGTAGGCTGAGCAATGTGAAGGCTGACTGAGTAAATTCTTCCAATGCTGTGGGTTCTGCCTGTGGGCTCTGTGCTGGGCACGGCTGGCTTGATACGTGCAGCTGGGAGCTCACTGTGATACCAACCTACAGTGCAGGTAAAGAATGTTGCAGCTTGGCACTTGGATGCCGTACATGAATGTGTATCACAGGCTGATGCGTATTTCTCTTGATCTAGGTTTTGAGCTTCCTGTCTTCAAAAACTGTTTGTCTTTTGTACTTGGAAGACATATCCAGATTCTCGTGTTTTGCAGTAACTGTGTGCATGGAAAATTAACTTGCAAATTGCTTTTAACATGGATTTGGTTTTGGTCTGCAGACTCCTCAGTGGTGTGATGCAGCTTGGAGGAACTATTTAGAACAGCAGGTGCTAACTCGGGACAGGTTCTGTCCTTCCCTCTTTCCACTAGTCCCCTCTCTCATCCTCTTTTCCTGCCACTTTTCACCATTTTGCTGAAAGCTTTTTTGGATAGTTTTCCTCACTTCTCTAGGGCCTAGCATATCAAAAGGCCCAGTAAATGAAGCCTTATGTGTGTCTGAGTTAGTGACTTGTACTAAAAGGAATGATGTGAAAGACTAGTTTTGTTTAGGAAATTAGATACTCCTCTAGGAGAGTATTACAGATGTATTTGTTAAAGTTTTTGCATCTCGGGCTGTCTAGTAACTTGAGCCTGAACAGCTGTAGTATGACTTATAAATTATTTGAAAATCTGCATAAAAGATCTTAAGTTAGATCTAACGCCTTGCTCCATAAAGCCAGCATTTTCTGTTGTGTCAGTTCATACAACTGTATGGTAAGTGCCATTTGGCAGATGCTTCAGCTTAAACTTGAGTAGCACATTTGAAGTTACTTGCATGTGTACGGTTGGATGGGATCATGGCCTTAGCTGTCATACTGAACCAAAGCTAGACTGCATGTTGTACAAAGGGAGAAAGTTGCATTATGTAAGCTATAATCTAATATTCTGATATTTCACAAAATGAGATATTCTAGTAACTAGGATCAATTGTGCAAGTCTCAAAGAAAATCAGAGTATTTATACTATATAGCTGAGATCTGACTCTTGTGCTGTATTTATGAAGTTACACAGATAGCAAAAACTAAGCTGGCTTACATAATAGAGTGCTAGTTCTGACACTGTAGTAGGTTGCTGAGAGGCAAAAATACTTCTGGAAAATGTTTAGAAATTGCTTTTCTGCTTTAAAATTGCAAGTAGAATTTCAGCAAGGCCTTGTATATTGTCTTTTTTTTAAAAAAATATCCATTGATAAAATCAACTTTAACTTGTTTTGTGTCACTGTAGTCTTTTATATTGTTTTTAATTAAAATTATTAAAATATTAATGGCTGTCTAAATTACCACTTGGCAAGACCTACTGAAGGAGTTAATGGGGGGGTTGGGGGGGGTTGGGGGGTTGGGAATGGGACCATAGAGGAAGCTCAAGTACCTAGCTCCTTACTGATGCTGCTTCCGCTCTTTTACAGCAGTCTGGCTTTAAGTTTCATATAAGCTGATATAACCAACTCTCCACTGGTGAAATATTTGCATTTTTCCCCTCTTTAAACCCAACCAACATGCCACATGCAAAACAAAGGCAAGTTTCCACAAACATTTTGAGTATCAAAGGATTTATTAAAGTAAAATAAATTAAGATCTTGTTTAGTTCAAGGTACATGACTTTTGTAATTAAGGTATCCATAGCAATTGATTCTTTTTAGATAATCTGCATGTGGACCTAACTCCTGTAGCTCTCATTAAGTTAGATTTGTCTTATGCTGTGTCTTGTACTTTCTGTATCTAGAGCTCTACTCTTTGTAATACATTGTTCCAAGAAAATTTCAATACCTGTGCTTCCAAAAGATGACTTTCAAGAAGGCAAGAAATGAAGCAAACAAGTAAAGATTATTTTGAATATTCACAGCAGTGTACCTAACTGCCAGACTTTTGAATTATTTTCCCTTGTGGTGATTATCTTAATGCTCCAGTTAAGTCCACAAAATATATTGCTATACATTATTAAAAGTTCAACATTAAAGAGAATAAACCAGCATTTTTCCCTCATTCAGTAGACTTTAGTCATGCTTTGAATTTGGATGAACCTGCAGTCTCAGGTTTTATGTGGCAAAGTAGGTGCTTTAAAGTAACTGGGATGGTGCTTTTCTGTGGGGATGAAACAATGCTTAGCTTAGATGATGCTTTGGTAAAATGTCAAGAAGCCCAATGTGTTAAGGCACTTCTCCCTCAAACTCCAAGTGTCACCTTCATTATTGGCAACGAGGCCCTTGTTCTGTGCTGCCATGGTACATGTTCTTTCATGTATCTGCTGTAACCTAGTGAGCATCAAGACAGCAGTTCCTTGCTCAGACTTCTGCATAAAGTTGGATGTTAATTTCCTGATCTCAGGCTAATCAAAGCTGGATTTAGGACTGATGGCTTTATGTATTTCAAAGACTGAAAATGTCCAAAATGAAATGGAACAAATCAACTGCTCTATGCTGCGGAAGGACTTGTCATGATGGAATAGTAGGACACATCTCTGAACATACCTGAAAGAGGAATGAGACCATAAGGACCTCAAGCATGTTTAAAGTATCCTAAATCTCTCTTTATGGAAATTGTGAAGGGAGGACATGATGGCTAGTGACTAGACTAGAACTTGTGGAACTTTTCAAGGTCATTGTAATGTAAGGAAGTCTATTACTACAAATACTGAATTTGGAAGAAACTGGGTTTTTCTCCTGCCTTGTAATGCAGCTCAGTTCTGACTCACTCCTGCATTCTGTTATGCAAGGGGAGAAAACCTGAATTATAGGGCAGGTGATTTAAGGCTCAATAATGTGTGAAGACAGGAAAATTAAAATACAGTTGAAGCCTATTACACTAATAAATTCCTTTATGCCTTCAGGTCACTTGTGTTTAATCACAGTTCCTGCTTCAACTCTTTAAGATGATAAATTCTAGCTATATGACTAGTTGCAGATTTCCACTAGCCATGTTTTCCCATGGAATAAGACAGACTAATTGAAATGCCCCTAATTTTGTGCTTTTATTGCTTTATCTAAGTCATCCACCACTTGCTGCAGCTTCTGTAGGCTGGGATGGACGTTCTCCTCCATCCACTCCTCTACAGTACACTTGTGGAAAACTTGCTCCATGGCTGCTTGGAGGTCTTGCACCACAGCATTCCACTTGGAGAGAAGACTGAGCAGAAATCAGAAGGAAGAAACAATCACATTTGCAGCTCAGCTCTGCCTCAAGGGAGGGCTAGCTTACTGGACCTTTTAAAGGGAGTACCGTCCTTAAAATTACTTTACAGGAAAATCAGCATCTATTACAAGAGCTGAAAGGACTTGATTTTGTGCAGATGGCAAAAGGTTGATGCTGTTTGTGTTTAAGTACCACTAATCTTGGCGCTTCTCTTATGCAACGACTTTTAAAGTACACAAATGTGAGCTCAGAAAAACACTATACACATTTTAAGTGTAACTGAAACCCACTATAAGACTTGTTTGGAATTTAATTCTGTTTTTTTATCAGCAAGAGCAGATGCAGTTGGATGTTCACCTTATCACAGGAAAAATGTATAAATTAGCCATTTAGCAGGAATCAGCATCGTCTTTAGCACAAGTTCTGAAAAAGCACATGCAGGGGGAAGGGGTCTGGTTTTATTCCAAGCCCTGCCTGGAACATGGCCTACGGGGGGCTCCTATGCTGCAGCTAACACCTGCTGTAAGATGCAGCATATATACATATATGCAGTAACTGCATATACAAGGGAGAGGTTTTTAGAGACCAATTTTGTACCTGTATTCAAAGAATTTGTTCAACAGGAGGCAGAAATAAACATGTTCTTCTGTTTAAAACCATATTATGAATACTTCATATTGTTTGATTTCCACTAATGCTTCTGAAATAATTTTAGAAAGAGGCAAGGACTCAAAACTGTGTGTTGGGCACTTCAGTGCGCCAAATATGACAGACTTTATTTCCCCTATAATGCAAAATAAGTGGTGTTACCTTACTGCATCTGGTTGAAAGTGATGCATTATTATAGGATGAATAATCTTCCTTTTTCTGTGGTAGGGGCTGAACCAGCCTGTAACATATCTGAAAATGCATGTTAGTATGAGCAGTTTTTGGAACAGCAGTGACATGTGTAGGTTGACAGGGAGGTGATAGGGCTGTAGCTGAACTTCTCCTGCACAAATAGAGATAATGCTGAAGGATTAAGTAAATTTAAGTCTACAGATCTTTGGAACGACCTTGTAAATGATCAGTTATTCTCATCTACCAGGAACAGTCATCTGTTGCAATTTAAATTTCATTTCCAGGTCCTTTTTTTGGTAACCATACCATTAAAAAAAAATCACTTTTACTTTAAGTAACAGTAAGATTTATTTCAGGAAAGAACTTGATTCTTGAAATAAGGGCAGCACACAGCATTTAGGAATTCTGCTGAAATATTTTAAATCTGCATCTAAGTATTACATTCTGCTGCGGTGTCAATATATAGGGATATGATGCCTTAAATGTAGAGCTTGATGTTTAAATCACTTCTCTGGAGTTGTGCCCCATTTTGAGATGATACAGCTCCCACACTCCTGCAGACAGCCAGAGAATCAACATAAACCTTATTACCTGTTCCTTTCAAGAAGTTCATCCACTGATGACTTGAGGTAGAAGCTAACTTGCGTCACAAGTGTAAGGATATTGCTCCCAGGAAAGGTCCCCAGACTTGTGCTGTCCAAAAAGGATCTGTTAAGTTTCTGAACTTACCACGCAGTGAGAAGCATCTGAATCCCACAGCTGGAATTTTACCTCATGAAAGTTTCAGTTTCCAGGTTGGACATTCCCAGGAGCTTTTCCACATTTTTTTTAATCTTTTCAGAATAGCCACCTGGCAGAAGACAGTGGAAGTAAGTAAAAGGAGCCTAAATAACCAAAATGTTCTTAAAGAGGGTTTTTCTGGAGTACTCTGCATTGGCTTAGTAGTTCTCCTTGGATGAAGATTTTTTAAAAAGTAAAATGGAAATAGAACAAGGAAAAAAACTTGGGGGTGGGAGGAGTACATTGTCTTTCACACAATTGTCTTGTGCTAGGTAAAGCACTTCCTAACTATGAGCTTTCCATTCAGGGTGCTGAATATTTTTAGTGCCTTAGTTAAAAATAGGTATGTTGTGGGGTTTTTTATTTTGAAAATAAGAAATGCAGGAAGACAAAAATAAAAATTCTATTGGAACTGCCTGTGAAGAAACCAGAAACTACAGGAAATATTTTACCAGACAGTGTACTACCTAGATCAATTTTAAGAAAATTGATTAGTTAAAACAACTTTTACATGTAAACAAGATCTAAATGTAAACGAAATTAGTCTCTGATATGCCAGTAGTGTTTCAAATCAGTTTCAAAAGCATTTTGGCTTCTTAATTTTTTTTTGGTATAAGCATGAAGAAGTTTGCGACCATTTATGGGTCAAAACATAATAAATGATTAGTATACTATGGCTATTTTTAAATACTTAGGCCAAGAGGCTTCTCTGCTCCTGTATCGCAAACAATCAAGATTGCAATTTATTGTTCATAATTCAGACCACGATCAGATAGTCAAACCACCTCAAAATGTAATAAGCCCGTGCCAACCTTAGGGCAAGGTCACTTCACGCTTGTGCTAGGCATTAGCTGAGAGAGAATAAAGTTGTCATTGTACCATTCGTTAGTGCCTGCAGACATACAGCCAGTGATGGAATTGCCACAGGCAGAAGCTCACACAAAACAGAGAAGTGATCATACCTAAATAAGAAAACATTAATTAATTAGACATTTTACTGTTAGAACATACTAAACAAGTGGAAAGTGTTAATATTTCAATCACTAAAATTCAAAGAGCTTTAGAAACATTAGTTTCTGTCTCGGAGAAGGGGCCTTTATCTCTGAAACGCTAAGTATTCCTGGTTTACTGCTGAGAACAGATACAACAAATTACTTTCTCAAGCCAAATTAGGGTCAGAAATTGGAATTCAGCTCTCTCGATTCCCTCAGACCTCCTGACTGTTGCATAAAAACCTTTTACTCCTTCATTACATTAACAAACTCTTCTCTCTTATGCAACTTCATTCTATTTGAATTCACATTAGACATTCAGATATACACCATGCATTGTGCTATGCTGTCTATAAGCAGTCCAAGGTGGCACAAAGTACATTCAAGCCTTCAAATCCAATCTGCTATTGTTGGTGTCTGCCAAAACAATTGCTCCTGCCAATTAATGCTGTAGCAGTTGACTGGAACTCTGAAATCCACCCTTCACAGTCGGCTGGGTGAGGCCCAGCAGTAACCAACAGGAAGGATTGCAGGGTTGCAAAGCTCCCTTCTAAATCCCCAGCCTCCTTGTACCTCTTAGGGAGTTTTTGGGTGGAAGTTTGCTTCCATGTGATCCTTGGAATCATTTAAAAAGATGTTCCTTACCTTTGCCAGCCGGTCAGTGCGATACCTTCAAGGACATCAGCGGGGCTATTGCTTGCCACTTTCAGCCATTGGAGATGGTTTTTTAAATGGTGTCCAATAAGCGTTAGAGACTGATTCACTCCTGTAGCTCCTTTAAAAGCACTAGCAAACCACACCTTGGAGAAGCCACATCTACGATACTTCTCTATGAGATGCACTGAAATAAGACACAAAAGAACACTTACAGGACGAGTTTTTCTCCATTTTCAGCGTTGACTGTAATGCTCCAGTTAACAGGAACCCAGGTCAGGTTACAACAGGCTGCTGAGCCTTGTCCCATCAAGTTTTGAGCATCAGCAGGGATGGGAGATTTGACATTCTCTCTGAGCAACCTGTTCTGGTGACTGCCCTCCTATTTTCACGTGCCTGGTTACTATGTTCCATTCCCTTGAATTGCTAAATTGCTTCAATGCTAAGAACCACGGGCACGTAACAAGCATGTGCAACATCTGACAACTGATTCTTCTTTCAGCAAAGAAATATTTGTATGCATGTTAGATGCCTGACTGGAGCCTTTAGGAGTTTTTCCTTTGAATTCTATAAATGTATGAAGCCTTGAAGCTTCTTTTGCAAAGGTGTTCAATACGGAGCTATCTGCTCCCACCTGTTTTAATGCAAGGAGAGTTAATTTAACAGTGCTTATGAAAAACCTCTCCATCTCCCATCAGTGATTCCATAGCCCTGCTGAAAAGAATTAAGCAGCAGACAATGCAGGTCCTTCATAGGAGAAGCATAAATAGAAAAAGAAAATAAAAATAGCAACTATTATGTGAAATCAAACAAGGACTATGTTTATGCTACTAAAGCAAATCAAGAAAAATAGAATTTTTTGGTATCCAACTAAGGTATGTTTAAATCATACTATTTTGTTGTGGCTATTTTGCTTAACAGGCAGCAGAGCTCTTTGCTTCTAAGCAGCTCAGCAGAGAAGTACAAACCTTTGTCCTCCACGTCAAGGTCTGCTGCATAGTCCCAGATCATTGGCTGCACAAGCTGTGGGACCCCAGACTCTGAAAAGAACAGAGTTGTTCTAAGTAATGGAAAACAGCCAGTTAAAAGTGAGAACTAAGTACATATTAGTGGTGCAGTAACACATGACTAGAACTAACTAAGGCTTGTCACTAGAATTCTTTGTTTACAGTTCAAGTGCCCACGAGCATTTTCAGCCTGGCCAGATCTCTGAACGCACGGGTTCACATGTCAGGGGCCACTAAGTCCTTAGACATCTTGAAACCACTAATATGGATCAGCAGTGACAATTCATCGGAGATCCCATTCATCCCAAGCCCATGTCATTCTTAGTCCCTTGAATCTATCAGTGTATCTGCTGGGTTGAACTGGTGGAGCTGCAAACTGTACATGCAAGATTTCAGCTAAATTCAAAGGAAGTCTTCACCCTTTAAGTTAGAGATTGTCTGAACTGTGTTTGCTCAGAACTTAGCTTCTCAAGACGCCTTTAAAGTACAAATAAAGATACAGGTTTAGCTTCAAATCCATTTATAATCAGCTCCCTGACTAGTTTTAAACATGAGAAACCGACCCCTAAAGAAACTGCAGTGAATTATACAGAAATTCAGTATTTTAACTGCATCCCATTTCTCATTTGTTTAGTCTGTGATTGCCTATGGCAGTACAGTGCACTTAGCCAGATGCTGTGCTGCTCTTGTGGAAACTGCATGGATCCTATCTGCATTTTTTCGGATGATGTCCCATCATTAAAGCCATGAATAGGTCAGTCACTGCTGGAGGAGCTCTTCATGACATTGTCTAAATCTGTTTAGAGCAGACACATCAGGTTGCTCTAAAAATGCGGAACTCCATCTATGCTAGGACTACTCAAATTTTAGCAGTGGTTTCATATTTTTCAACAAACAAGACTCGTGATGTCAAGGTCTTGGAGCTATCCCACAATTCAGTATCAGAGTTCCTCATGATGTGCACTGTGATCACCTATACTGTCAAAGACGCTCACGGGGTTGCAGCTTCTCCGTGGGAGTCTGCACCACTGGAACCAGATACTGCACAGAGCAACAGCTGACATTAAAAGGTGATGAAAGGCATAGACATTTAGGCTGAGACCACAGATGCTAACAGGCTTTTTTTTAATGTGTAAAGAAAGTAGCATTGATGGCAACCACTGCATGATGACTGTTTTGTTTGTCACTGTGTACCGCCAGATGGAGAACTAAAGTGTATGCGTTGAGACTTGTCCACAGTCATACAGAAAGTCTGTGACGTAGCCAAGGACTAAATGTCTCTAGTCTCTAGTCTAATGGATCGTATCTCAGCTACTCTCAGATTTCTTCTTTTCATTATTTTCATCTGCCAACAGATCTGTTTTAACTGGTTGTGTAAACTCTTTTGTATGCTACAAAATATGACTCACCCCATCATTGGTCACACACCTGCCAATGTTTCCTCACTTATCCCTCTGAGCATATCATCCCACACGATGGGCGTCACAGTGGGGTAAGATGAGGCCACACAACTTGCTACTGCTTTTATGTGGGACAAGCACAGCTTCTCTAGAGTGTTGTCTTGTTGCTGCAGCCACTGCTTTGACTCCTCTCCTTCGCCAAGGTAGTACACCTGAAACATCAAACAAATAATCCTGACTTCTTTTATAGGAATAGGGGGAGCGAGTTCAACACAGTGTCATGAAATCATACAGTATTCAAAACCTATTGCAAAGATATAACACACCGAGTGGACACATTTAAAAGCACCTCTCAGTGTTGAAGACACTGCAAGCATTTCCATCAGTCTGCAGCAGACTGTGACCCTGACTAAATGCATCACATAAGGGAATTTTCCTATGGGTACTAAAACATCTAAAGAATAACTAAAGCATTCTGTATTTGTCTCTGGAAGGTTTGTCCTTGGAAGTAGCTCTCACCAGTTTTACTCAGTTCAAATCTAGCAATGCATAAGGTCCTGAATTATATAAAATGAGGTTCCTGTCTTGGGGAAGGAGATCATGAATCTAGAATTGACTTGGGGGCATGTCCAAAAGTGGCCTCAGCACACTTTGTCCTATGCAGACAGTGGACTTTGACCTGTTACGCTGGATATGCATTTAAACTCTTTGTTGTTTTAGAGCAGGTTTTATCTAAAACATGTTTATTCTACATAAAAAGTATTTTGCTTTAAAAAAGCTTGCAGGTCCCTATCCCAACCTTGCCATTTCTTCCCAAACAACACGATTCAAAATGCTAAACTAGTATCAGTACAGTTAAGGTGATCACAATGAATTTCAGGGTTTTAAGAAACCCTGAGAAAGGAGAAAACTCAATGTTCTCCTCCTCAAGGAGAGACAAACTACCAAGAGGAAAAAAAAACCCAACATTTCCCACCACAAAAGGGCTTGCTTTGAATAAGTTGGCCGGAACAATGAGCCAGCATCTTAAATCAAAACTCACATGACTCTTAATGAATACCTCCAATTGATATCTCACTTTAAATACTCATTTGACCTAAAACCAAACTCTGAGTTAGCTTTAAGAAACTGCTTTCAATACTTTCTATATTAGACTCTGATGAATAGAAATGACATCCTGTGCTAGTGGAATGTTTTACTGTCAAAATGACTTTTCTACACTGGCTTGAATTGGTGTTTTCTGTCCTCAAAATCCTACCCAAACGTGGCCTGGGCACCACTGAAATGCAGAACCCTCAGCCTTTACCATCGTTCCTCACAAAAAAACTGTTCCTGGCTCAAGAGAAGTCCCACCTCATCACATCCGATGTGAAACCATTTTAAGTCTTCGTGCAGCGCCATGACCTGGTCAATCATGGCTTTGACCAGTGCCCGCGACTCCTCCTTGTGTGGGTTGAGGGCATTAGGAAACATCTTCACCTCCCGGAGATGAGCAAACTCTTTGTGCTTCAGCACAAACTGCAAGAGAAAGAAGAACCTCAGAGAACAACTGCAAAATGAAGGGGACAGCAGCGTCCTCTTGTGTCCCAGGGCTCTGCTAACAGTTACCCTGCTAAAACCTGGGTTTTGGCTGTGTGTGAGCACAGAGGACAGCACGAGGCCTCTTGCCAGGGGTGGCACAGGCAGGAGGGGCACGGCTGCTGCTCCACAGTGCCGCGGGGGTCTCCGGCCACGAAGCACCTCACGGGATGAGGGAAACGGCGTGGGCAACACAGCGTCACCCCGGCGTCCGGAGCATGCAGCTGATGGGAGCTGGATAACTGGAGCACCGGGAGTTACAGTGAAGATTTCCCAACAAAGCCACCCCCATGCCATGCCATGCCAAGGC